TGTGTGATCTGGAGCTGGTAGCTGGGTGGTCGCCAAAGCCCGAAGCGTGCCGGTCATAAACGACGTGTTACAAAGCAATATTTTTGATTGCATAAGTTTCGATTCAGAGTATTTAACATATCTTGCAAAGTTTGGAAATCGGACGTCTTCAAGCGATTTTGATTAAACCCAATACGGAAATCAAGAACAAAGCGCGATACTTCTGCTCAATGTTTCAGGTCTTCCAAAAGCATCTTGAAGATGCACGCTCCGAAGTTGGAAAAAGTCACCTTCATCCTCATCAACGAGCATGCAGTGTTTCCTGAAGCCATGAAGATGTGCGGAGGAAAGGTTTGGCTGGCGAGGCGGGCACAGCAGTGTGCTCTCAGCGGTGGATGGATGCCCGTTGGATGTTCAGAAAACCATGGAAGGTCGTAGGACCGAGTTGCAGAGCTCTACTGAATCTCATCTTCAAACCGATTTTCTGCGCTGCACCGAGAAGAACGATCAGCAGCTCTGAGGAAGCTTGACATCTCTGGGCACTGAAAGCACACGAAACATACTTCAACCGATGCTCGCATATATCGGTACAACCTTAGGTGGCCACTTTTGAAAGCCGGGATCCAAGATACGAGATTCAAGATGCTCAGGAAACTTTTTCCCTGGCATCTTCAATCTTGATTCTTGGATCCCGGCTGGCCTTGATTCAAAAACTGAATCAAATGAATCAAGCCCCCCCAAGCTTGATTCATTGGATTCAGTTTGATTCAGGCTTTGAATCAAGCCCGGCCGGGATCCAAGATTCGAGATGCAAAATGCTCAGGAAAAGTTTTCCCAAGCATCTTGAATCTTGAATTTTGGATCCTGGCCGGGCTTGATTCAGAAATTGAGTCAAACTGAATCAAATGAATCAAGCTTGCCCCTCCCCCGACCCCCCAACCCCAGAACCGACCACGATGAATTTCTTCCTTAGGGTGGTGGGGGGTAACCCAACTCACAAATACACAGTGAGCCTGAGCTTTAGTGCTGAAGGAAGCTCCTTAGGAAAAGTATCTAATGGTTAGGGAATTGGTTTTCAGCCCTTATGGAATATCTATAATTCTATAGTGTTTAGGGAAGCTCATTTTAGGAAAGTGTGTTTGTAGTACTCGAATTGAGGTACTAATTTGCTTCAGGCTTTAGGGATTTCGAACCAAGGATTTACATTTAGGGCTTAGGATTGTTTAGGCCTAGACCACTAACGAATCAAATTGCTGCAATACTATCATTAGTGTTTAGTGACTTGGTGAAGTTTCTTTAGTGTCTAGAGGAAGTGAGTTTTGGAACAGGGTGTCAGCCTAAACATTCAACGTATTAGCTAGACAGGGAGAGGGCTTAGGCTTAAACATCCAGGCTACGCGCCGTATTATTCCGAAAACAAGGGTCTGGGCTGTAGCGGAATTCCTTCAGCGGCGAGGGACCATGTCTTGGACTAGGTTTCAAGCTAGCAAACGGGTTTTCCGGAATGGGGCTTAGGCCTAAAAACACAACGGTGAAAAACCAAGCGGACTGTTCCACTACTCTTAGAGCCTGGTGGTTCAGCGGAGTTCTGCAATTCACAACATGTTCTCATGAAATTGGGCTCATGCCAAAATCAAGTGAAAACATCTTTTCCTATACATGAAGTGTGTACAAAGGGCAGGGATGTTAGGTTTCCTCACCCCGCCTGAGATTCGTCTGTACACAACAACGAAACTCACCGAAACCTCAAGTGAAACGAGCCTGGACACCGTAAAGCATGGCATCCGCAAATGGCTCACATCATTTCCACATCATTCTCACACTCAGCTAGCTGTGTTGTGGCGTGCGATGGCCGCCCAAATGGGTAACTTGAAGGATTTTGGACCCTTTTTGACCTTTCCAGACCTCCGGGGGCCCGCGGTAAACAGATGTGTTTGCAAAGCGCCCCTTGGAAACAAATTCGAACACCCCCCGCCGCTTCTTTAGATTCTATTCTCAATTATTCTCGCTAATGAAGAACCGATGGGTGGAATTTACATTCAATTCTGTTCTGCTGGCGCAGCGTTGACAGAGCCGTGTGGAATAGCAACGAAGGCCACAGCTAAGTCAAAGAAATTCGCATGTTTCAGTAGCGCTTTGTGTTGGCATTCAGATGCTTCAGAGTCGAAGAAGGTTGTGTGGAGGCGCGCTAGCTACTCCTAAAACGGCAGTAAATTCAGTGTGCCGATCGCAGAAATGCATCAGCCTGTCTTCCATGAAAAGTGAGCACTACAGTGCCGTTGGCAGTCTGTCGTTCATGAGCAGGCTTTGCGTCCAATCTGCAAAGCGGTTCTGTTTGCGTCAGGGTGTTACCAGGGCTAGCAAGCATATTTTGAAGGTCGATTGCTTTGGTTGCAAAATGCAGTGCAGCAGAGCGCTTGATCATGAAGTGTTGCCGCACATTCAAGCCTTTGACATTCACATAAAGCGAAGCCGAGCTGCGGAAAGGGAAAGTTTGCTGTTCTTAAATTTGTGGAGATGACAGGCCAGTGGGATCCGAAGAGGAATCGAACCGTGGCGACCGGAGGGGATGAAGGCCCAGGTCAAGCGTGTTCGAACAGTGGTAGGTTCCGATGTTTCAAGCACATGGGTGAAGCGTGTTGCACTCCTTCCGATGCCAGCAAGCGTTGCTTTGACGCCTGGTTCGTGGTGTGCAGCGTTGCGATTTTCTTGGCGTGCCTTGCATTTGCACTGGACAGCACGACAAGCTGTTGAACTGTCCTGGGGCGTTCTGTGCCATGGCGGGCATGATCGTGAGCTACATATCTTGGAGCCTTGGGTCAGAAGGCTATGGTGTTGCTGTGGAGGCTGAGATGAACTGCACGACTACAACGACTACGGCAAGTGGTGTGAGTCCAGTTGTGACGCCGATCTCCATTGGCACGACGCTGGTCATGTTGAGGTCAAGCCTGCTCTCTCGAGGAGACTGGAGCAAGTGCGACTTCAGAATCGTGCACTGGAAAGCGAGCTCGTCAAGGCTCGTGAGCGCGCAGGGCCGCCTGCAAATATTGTCACGACAGCGCTGACTCCTTGCAGCTACTGTCAGCATATGTTCTATGGATGAGCAGCCATACGAGGATCCAGGATCTACGTTTGAGGTGGGTGGTTCAAGGACGTTTCGACGCTAAACTGTTCCTAAGTTGTTGTTGTTTCCCCCCCCGACACCGGCCGGACCTGGGTTGTTTGAACCTGGTTCAACCCCAGTTGGGCGACCATCCTTGATTGGAGGTCGTCACAGCTGCAAGCCACGCGCACGCTGCCTTCTGCCACTATGTGAAACTGTCACTTGACGGCGTCACTGTTCAAGATTAAAGGGGCACCGACTAAAGCCACGCTGTTCCACTCCACAGCTCTGCAGCTCAGCTGAACATGCATGCCCGCGCCGTGCCGTGGCTCAACCCTTCAACGTAGCACACACACAGCACCACAGACAGAGCTTGGTGCAGCAGGCACAGGCACAGCAGACACAGCCGGTACAGCAGGCACAGCAGGCCGCGCAACAGGCTCGGCGCGCATGCGACGCTGTCACGACGGTTCCTCAGACGGAGCCCATCGTTCATAAAGGCCTGAGGCTGGGCATGGTGGCGCGCTAGTCGCGCAGCTGCTGGCAATGGCATAGCACTCAGTACACCTTCTTGCAGTTAGGTAGGTTGACAACTGTGTGAATGCACAGAGAATTGAGACCCAAGACGTGTTTTGCCTCACAGTGGCAGGACAGCCCTCACCGCACGCGGATGCGTGCTGTGATGTAAAACTACCAAAACCCTGGAACCCCTTAGCGCCTGCACAGGTTGTTTGTTCGCGCACAAAGCGAAGCTCACCAAGCTGAGACATGTCGTTCAAGCTTCTTTACAGTGCTGCTCAAGCTACGACTCGCTCAGACACTTTGCTCCTCTGCGCGACTTGAGCCACGCATTCAAAGCATGAGACACTTCCAGCTTCAGCTGGTTGTTCCTCCCTGCTGCTTGTTAACTTGTTAACATGCAGCTGCTGCCAAAACAAAATTTCGCAACAAAAGCTTCCATACTATACAACCAAGGACTACTTTACAAACGCATGACATGCTCAGCATTGCAGGTCTCACAGTCCAGGCTCAGTGCCTTTACGAAAGACTTCTCCAGCAAGAAAACGCCCGTGCCCACGCAGTAAAGATCATGCAAGCTCCAAACTTGCACAACACACCAGAAGCGATATGCATTGCCTTCCAAAAGCAACGCATAAAGCCACTTCATCATTCGCTGACACCAAGAGGGCAGAAGCTGGCACTTACAGAAAAACTCGCAGATATCCATATCGCTCTTCCACTAATCCAAGCCCAATGGCCAGGATCCAGAAACCACATATTTCCACACCCCCTTTCGATGTGGATATCGGCGCTGAAAAACGCCAAAAGACATATAAATCGCCACGTAGAAGCATCAACCAGGCACAGAAGCAGCTGCGTGTAGTCCATGTGGAATCGAAGCGGAATTGTACTGAATTCCAGACATGTGATGCCCAGTAGTGAAGAGGAACTCAACTCTGCTGGTTCCCATACTCACTTAAAGGTTGCATTCATGCAAAGGCCAAGACGATTCAAAAGGTCTTGCTTTCGATATTGCTAGCCCGGAAAAGCTGGGCTTCACGATGCCATCTGCACCCGTCGAAAAATGTGGACCGCCCAAAGCGAAAGCAACATAGCGCCCTCTAACAGCAGTTCACAGAATTCGGAGTGCTCATACTCTTCAAAGCCAAACCAGCAGCAAACTCTTCCCGCCAGCCACACTGCAGTGCTACCCAAAGCGAAAGCTCTCCAAGCCTTCTATCAGTAGCCAACAATGCCGCTCGCTCTTTTCAGAGTTCACTGCGCCAACTTCCTTTGGAAACCGCTGGATTTCGTAAAGCCCACATAGGTAAGGTAACCGGCCAGGTCCACTGCCTGGGAACGTGGCTGACCACCTTTGTACTCATGTCCGAACTTCGTTCGAACCCAAGCAAGGTACTTTGTCAACTCCGCATTGGTAGCACATCTCCACCAAAGCAGCGTAGGTTCTTCCTTTCCACTCCTTCACCGAATTGAGCTTCGGCAATTCAGCGATGGTGCGATCCCACTGAGATTTCGTAGTGTTTTCCGGAAGGCTCACCTCAAATGCCCCTTCGCCCCCTGTATAGGAGACTAGAAGGAACTGGTCATCCTCCCCATCATCTTCGGCCAAGCTTGCTCGCTGGCTGCTCGCTGACCCACTCGTCTTCACGACAGCAGCCATCGCGGTAGCCTTCGGAATCGGCAGCTGCTCGCTGCCAACATACCCACTAGTCTTGGCGTCGTCACCCTCAAAGTGGCGTCGCTTGGGCGCATCGGTCATGCTGCCTTCGGTACGCACAACCTCTGCTGCTGCTGACTTTGCCAGCAAGCGCTGCAACTCACGACGCTCATCTTCGGTGAGCACCATTGCTGGAACCACTGGCTTCGAGCTGGTATATACGCAACAACTAGCGAAAACGCACGAACTTCAGTCCAAGCAGGCGCAAAGAACCCCAAAGATCCACCTCCTCAGGAGGTCAAGGCGCTCAGACTCTTCACACCTCTCAGGTTTCCCGCAATGCTCTCACAGCACCCTTCACAATTGCTTCAGCAAGTTTCGGTGTGTAAAAACCAGTGTCTAACCACTCTACATGTATTGCGCGCGCATGCTGCAAGCACTCACAACGTGAAAAGCAAGCAAGCTCACTCACAAAACGCTCAGATGTTGAGGTGAAGCCGAAAAACTTCTCGATAGGCTCCCCCCCTCTTTTGCCGTCAAACCCGTCACACAGAGCTTCACAGGAACCTCAAAATCATGCTTAGCTTCGCGTAGAACCCTCTTACACATCGCATAGCTCCAGACTCGATTGTTCCAAGGCAACTCAAAGCTAGAATGCTCTCCAAGACGCAAGTACTTTCGGACGCACGGGAACACTTCAAACCACTCCCAATCAGCTCGTGTTTGCTCAGACGATACCCTTCCATGTGTGAAACTTCGAAGCGGCGATCCTGAAGAGCTTGGAGTGGACACATGGACAAAAACATCACTCTTCTCAAAATTTGCAAGGTAGGACTTCAGGTTTGCGAACACTTTCGGGCTTTGCATGTTGGCGCACACACCCGCGTACGATACACCTAACATGCTGCACGCGGCTTGAATGCTTGACTGTTCCAGACAACACACCTCCACGACAACGTAGCGCCTACTTGCATTAGCCAAGCTGCAGATCGGACTCGCAAGAAGCTCAAAGCCAAGAGACTGTCGATGAATGCCAAAGGCTGCACTTCCAAGGCACTTCGTGAGTAGGTCACTCGGATTGTCCACCCCCTTTCGAAAGGCAAGAACCAACTGTCCCTCAACAACCCTCGACTTCAGCCACTCAACACGTATCTCAAGGTGACGACTCCTCTTAGGTCTTAGGAGTGTCCATGTTCTTCAAAAGCTTCAGTGAGGACTCTGAGTCCGAAAACAAGACACCTGGGATTTCTGCAGCCTCCACTTCTCCAAACGTACCAAAAAACCCTGCCGAGAAATTTCCCCAAGCTCAACATCTCCTGCGCCACAGCTTGCAAAGCAAACAGTTCACTCTCCATGCTAGATAGCGACACAAGCTGTTGATGTCGACACAAGGTTTTGACAACACACCCGTCTACTGTCAACACTCTTCCGCTAATGCCTCGTCTTTTGGTGCAACGAAGAGGAGCGTGCGACGCGTCCGAAAAACAGACCATGTGTTTTTGCTGTGAAAAATGCTTCTGCTGATGTAGAACGTCACTGGCCGCAGGCAACCGCACAGCCACGCACATGTCGTTCTGTAGATATCGCAGCAAGGCCCGCAGTCCCTGCTCGGTATTGTTGGTTGGATTGATTGTTGAGTGGCCAGAATTGAAACATAAGCTCGAAGGTCCTGCCGTGTCTGCGTCATCCAAGCCACTTTGTCCAGCGCCGACCTGAACCGCGCGTAAGCCTCAGGACTCAGTGGCAGCCCACCTCACTGCAACGTCCGGTGGACTTGAAGTTCCTTTTCCAGATAACCCATAGGCGTTAAAGGTGTCATCAAGATAGTCCTGTGGCAAAGAAACAGTCAACGAAGCCTCACCCTTCCTTCGAGAGATGACACGACCAATGAATCTCAACACCCCGCCTCCCAGCTGCTGAAGATCGAATCACCCCTGTTCTCTTGAACTCCACTAAACGCTCAACGGCTTCAAAGATGCGGTTTGCGTCTTCTTCTGTTGGTGTCATCAAGAGAAAGTCAACATACACCAGCAGTACGCACGGTCCTGACTCCAACAAGCCTGAAAAGAGGCAAGACTCCAGAGAGCAACTGCGCAAGCCTGAACCAATGCTTTTTTACCACTTCCGCAACGAAACAGATCCATTCTTGTGAAGCTTTGCGTAGCCCGTTCAAGGCCTTGCGCAAGTGCAGATTTTGTTCACTTGGTAGCTCAGACAACGTCGAATCATCAACTGCTGATCTCGGGCGCCAAACTCGTAGATGCGAACGCTGCCCAAAAGGCACCACGACACTTGTAGCGTTGGGAGCAAACTGCACAGAGTCAAGCAAACCGGAAAGCAAAGGCACATGCTGGGTCACCTAAAACGCTTGCTCAACAAAGCTAGACAAAGGCATGTAGATGTCATTACCAGTCTTACAACTGTGCACCTGCCACGCAAGCGTTCGCACCTTGTCGCATTTCCTCCTCCAACTCTTCAACAGGCACTTAGACGATCGCTTCACGCTTCTTGTGGTCAACTCAGGCTCAGTCCGAATGTCATCTTTCCAGGAGAAGCTATCGCTCAGGAAGCTTAGCTGAAGCAGTTTCAGGCTCACGTTCTGTCAGAAGCGAAATACTAGGGGTGTTGGTGAACAACCCAAACTCTGCTAGCCGCTTAATCAAAAGAGCACGATGTACGTCGGAAAAGCACAGCAACATGCCCAACGGACGCTGACGTCGCAACATCTTGTCACACACGCCCTCTTCAAACAAGGTTAGCATTTTGATCATGACCTGGACTTTGATCCAAGAAGTGTCGCACCAGATGCTCTCAACAGGAGTTCTCACGTGCGAACACATGCACCCCTTCATCCAACACTTGCCAACCCAACCGACCAGTCGACAGGATGTTATAGGGAGTGTCACCAACCATCACTGGCACTTTGCACACACCATCCTTGTGGAAGATTGTGCTGATCATTGATGTTTTTGTCATGTTTTGGATCAGCTTGTATAGGTTTGTTTTGCTTCGGAGTGATTGGGAACCCGTGTGATCCCATCCTCGATGGTTTATGCCTCGTTGATTTCCAAGAAATCACACGAGTGTGTTTTGCCCAATACGCTGTTTAAAGTGAGTGTGCAGTGTGTAGGAACTTCGTTCTGAAGCTGAGTTTAAGCTTACAAGAGAGAATTCGTTTAGTTTGTGCACTTCGTGACTTTTGGCTCAAGTGGTTCTGACTGTGAAAAAGAAAGAGCTGTCCGCACTTGTGTGAGAGGTCAGGGTTCGTGCTTTTAAGGGAAAAGGTACCAGAGGGACCTTCGTTTTTTCACGTGGTAGCGGAGCTTGTGCCTTGTGGTACGAGCCCGTGTATGGTCTTTGGTTGTCTGTGAGTGCCTGGAGGCAAGTTTGGGTTTGGATCCCAGACTGCCAGTGGACCGGAATCTCTTGTACTCGGACCGTGTAAAGTGAGTACCGGGAAGCCTACCCTGTGAGGAGGCGGATCCGGACTCATCAGGCTTGGAAGCAGTTGGTTCAGCGGCTGTTGAGGCACTTTGGAGTCCGGGCAAGGTGGTTTGTCTGGAACTGGATTGGTTGTGACCGATCTTGGAGGAATACGGTGCTTGGTAGAGTAGAACTAAGGTTCTTCAGGAGCCTGGACCATCTGGTGTTGGTGAGAGAATTTTCGCCAGAAGACGTTGTGGAGAGACTGCAGGCTGGAGCCTGAGTTCAGGAACTATGTTGAATACACCCCCACGACATCCCAGTGAAGCTCATGTGAGGAGTCCAAGAGGTGGACGAGAGCGTGGAAGCTCTGTGCCCATCATGGATGCTGAGACAAGGCGAAGGGTAGACCCTTTTCCGGGTTTGGGAAATCCCAACCCACTGTGGGTGCAAGGTTTGGCACAAGGAAGCCAACCTGTGTATGGCCCAGTGCCCAGAGGTCGAACTCCCGCCAGAAGCCCTCATGGGGTAGCTACTGGAGCACCCCAACAGACAATGGGAGGCCCTTCGTTTCCCCCTGGTTTGCCTCAGCAAGCGGTAGGAAGTCCTTCGTTACCACCAGGACTATCCACTGGACCTCCTCAACCTGTGGTGACACCATCACAAACATCACCCGACGTGCAAGGGTTGACGAGACAAGTGCGAGAATTGGAAAGCATGATGCAGCAACTGGTTGTGCAGCAACAGCAGTTTATGCAAACGATGACTTCGTCCATGGTGCAGCAACAGCAGCAGCATCAGCAGTGGATGATACAGCAGCATCAGCAACAGCAGCCACAGCAACAGCAACAGGTGAATCCCCCCTTACCTCAGGATGGTGTTCCTGAGAACATGCCCAGTTCTTCTTCGGGATGTCAAGGTGCATCGCCAGTGGGTACTCCTGCGAAGGGGACCCAGCTTTTTCGGATGGCGAGCCCAAGTCCCCCACTGAGACCTCCACCTCTGGAGCAAGAAAGTGAAAGGGATGTGTTTGCTCGATCGGACAAATGGTTGCCCAGTTTGCCGACCATTGACTTTTCGTCTTGGAAGGATCGCATCTCTGAAGCTCTTGGATTCTTGACCTGGATGGAGAAGCTGACCAGTTGGGTTGGTTTGGGTTCAGAAGTGTTTCCCAATGAGCTCATGCATGCGGTGAAGACTCAAGAAGAGTCTCGGCTGAAACAGGATCGACTTACTGTGGAGCAACAGAAGAGGTCGACGAGGCTGATGCACATCCTGCGACAGACTTTTGCAAATCATGACAAGAGTTCTCTGATTTTGCAGACATATGTTGAAAGTGAGAGCGCTTATCAACAATCTGGTTTTGTGGCTTTGAGATTGCTGGCGAAGGAGTTTTGCCTGAAGTCGCGAGCTGAATGCCTGTTCTTTCGGTCGCAGCTGGTGAATCAAACCGTGAAAGCACCCAGTATTCCGGAGATCATTCGAAAGATTGAGCATGAGTTGAACAAGTACACCAAGCTGCTCAATAGTCTTGATCCCGATGTGCATGCTGGTGGTTTGCAGATCCAAGAAGCGGATTCGGTTATGGTTTTGCTGCGCAGTTTGCCAGATCGGTGTAGAAGCCATTGCTTGTTGCATGGCGATAGTGAATCGTTTGAAGATCTGAAAAGAGTTGCTCTGAAGTTTGAGGTGCAACAAAGGGTGTGGTCAGAAGCCCCTGGCACGAAGCTTCAACCTTTTCGAGATCCCAATGAGGGAAAGGGCAA